TAGATGGGGAGGAGAGGGATGTGAGAATAGATGGGCAGGAGAGGGAGGTGACAATAGATGGGCAGGAGAGGGATGTGACAATAGATGGGCAGGAGATGGATGTGACAATAGATGGGCAGGAGAGGGATGTGACAATAGATGGGCATGAGAGGGATGTGACAATAGTTGGGCAGGAGATGGATGTGAGAATAGATGGGCAGGAGATGGATGTGACAATAGATGGGTAGGAGAGGATGTGACAATAGATGTGCATGAGAGGGATGTGACATTATGATAGACTGTAGAGGGCTGTGACAATATATGGGCATGAGATGGATTTGACAATAGATGGGCAGGAGATGGATGTGACAATAGATGAGCAGAAGAAGGATGTGAAATAGAATAGGCTGGGGAGGGCTGTGACAATAGATGGACAGGAGATGGATGTGACAATATATGGGCAGGAGATGGATGTGACAATAGATGGGCAGGAGAGGGATGTGACAATAGATGGGTAGGAGATGGATGTGACAATAGATTGGCAGGAGAGGGATGTGACAATAGATGGGCAGGAGAGGGATGTGACAATAGATGGGCAGGAGATGGATGTGACAATAGATGGGCAGGAGAGGACTATGACAATAGATTGGCAGGAGATGGATGTGACAATAGATGGGCAGGAGATGGATGTGACAATAGATTGGCAGGAGAGGGATGTGACAATAGATGGGCAGGAGAGGGATGTGACAATAGATGGGCAGGAGATGGATGTGACAATAGATGGGCAGGAGAGGGCTATGACAATAGATGGGCAGGAGATGGATGTGACAATAGATGGGTTAGGAGATGGATGTGACAATAGATTGGCAGGAGAGGGATGTGACAATAGATGGGCAGGAGAGGGATGTGACAATAGTTGGGCAGGAGATGGATGTGACAATAGATGGGCAGGAGAGGAATGTGACAATAGATTGGCAGGAGAGGGATGTGACAATAGATGGGCAGGAAAGGGATGTGACAATAGATGGGCAGGAGATGGATGTGACAATAGATGGGCAGGAGATGGATGTGACAATAGATGAGCAGAAGAAGGATGTGACATAGAATAGGCTGGGGAATGTTGTGACATATGATAGGCTGGGGAGGGTTGTGACAATAGATGGGCAGGAGATGGATGTGACAATAGATGGGCAGGAGAGGAATGTGACAATAGATGGGCAGGAGAGGGATGTGACAATAGATTGGCAGGAGAGGAATGTGACAATAGATTGGCAGGAGAGGAATGTGACAATAGATTGGCAGGAGAGGGATGTGACAATAGATGGGCAGGGGAGGGCCGTGACATATGATAGGCTGGAGTGAGCTGTGACATATGATGAGCTGGGGAGGGCTGTGATATTTAATTTCCTGGGGAGGGATGTGATATATGGTGGGATGGGGAAGATTCTGACATATCTAGAAAATTGCTTCTCTTGAGATATATTTGTGAGATATCTGTGTGTTGATCTTATTTGTTTCATTTACAAGCAGTAAAACTAAATGTGACGTTTCTTGTAAACAATTCTGGTTTCAGACCAATTAGTTTAATCCTCACAGCATTGTCACAACACTCGACTGTCATTACCGGTCACTCCAAGGTCCTTTCCACTCCCATTTGCCCCACGGATTCCTCAGACGCAACAAGTAGAGTCCGGACTGTCGCGGATCATTTGGTAACTATAAACATTGAGAATATTTTATATTAAAATAGTCGTTCGAAAGTGCTGCTTGAGCCCTAAAGCCCAGAGATGCAATTGAAGATTACAAGAATAAAACTAAAACTACAAGTAGCATTTAGTTATGGACACATAAAGACTAGTTGGTAAGGTATGTGCGACTGACTGCACGTTGCTTCAGGCCTATTTCATGGAATTATTTTATCAACATGAGGAAGTTTTTGTAAGTCCTTTCTAATTGTTTCTTTTGTTTTTTTCACGTACTGAAAATATGCGGAGTAAACTTTAGTAATTACAAGTCCAAATGTAAACCATGTTTATACCCAACAAACTGTGATGACGTATTTTATTGACACCACTACAGAATCTCCTTTCGTTTTAAAAGATTTTATTATTTGCTTTTGTAAGGTTTGTGAAATTTCTTCATAAAATTCTATATAGATCTTTCACCAACGAGACATTTTGAAAATTAATTTTTGTTGATAACATGATTTTTTTTTTAAAATCTAATTTATGTTTGAATGTTTTATAATTGGGCGGGGAAGGGTTTGGTTGGGGGTGGGGGGGTCAGTTAAAAAACCATGTCCATTGGTATATACGATGGATTATATTTTCTAAACAATTGTAGAAATCTTACTTTTCTGTAAAATCCAGTAATGCTGTAGGCATGTCCATTGTGTAGTCCATTTGGTAATTCTTCTTCATTGGGGTTAGATTTATCATTTTTCTGCAGAAACATAACAACAAAAAAAACAAAAACATTGTTGAATTGATTTGCAATCTTTGATGTTTGGTGTGTCTCCTCAATGTTTGGTGTGTCTCCTCAATGTTTGGTGTGTCTCCTAAATGTTTTTGTGGTTTTCGTGAATAAGGGGTGACAAATTCAAGGACCAACGGGGCGTCAAGAAGTAAAGCTACTCCGCTGCTCCACACCCCAGAAAACTTGATGCCATGACTTAAATGTATTGCTCCACACACTGGGTAACTTGATGCCATGACTTAAATGTATTGCTCCACACACTGGGTCACTTCATGCCATGACTTAAATGTATTGCTCCACACACTGGGTAACTTCATGCCATGACTTACGTGTATTGCTCCACACACTGGGTAACTTCATGCCATGACTTAAATGTATTGCTCCACACACTGGGTCACTTCATGCCATGACTTAAATGTATTGCTCCACACACATTAGGTAACTTTACACCATGACTTACATGTATGCTCGCTCCCATCAAACTCGCCATGTTGTATGACGTGTACAAGAGGTCGTATAGCTCCATGGAAACTTTTGTATTGTTTGAAATGTCGATGACTTCAGATATTCCGCCCGTCAGATCCACCATTGCGTTCTGTGTCAGACCGCCATTCAGCTGCTCATAACTGCCGTGCAATCTAATCAAATATAATAAAGGCCATGATGAACATAATATCCATTCTTTATGCTACTAGAAATAACCTAACCATGGGACAACATTCGGAATTGTGTGTTACCATGCGTTACTTTTTTTGCCGCTAATTTTGTTTAAATAATTCTTTTTGAAGCTTTATGTTCATTATAATATAATTTTTTTTTTTTTAATTGAATAGCATTAAAAAATTTGCAAATAAGACAAAAGAGGTAGATTGTATTTATTTTTTTACATTTAAACAAATAATAAAGATTTAATTTAAAAGTTTCTTCGACCGGTTGCAGAACCAGGTAAACCAGGTGTTTAAAAAGCCAGTCAGATTACTGTTATGAAATAAGACATAAAAGACTTTCCGTTGTCATTGAATTTCGAGTAATGGGTCGACACGCTTCAGAAAACAACAACGACACCCAGTAGTTCCGTATTCGAGATCTAATATTTTAGGGTAGTTATTTGAATAACAGCGGTTAAACCTGTAGGATATCGTTTAACAATTCTGGGCAGCACTAAGATTGGCATCACTTAACATATGGCGGATATCACTTTACATATGGCTACTTCTAATGTGTTGGTCACAAGATAATCGGGGGGGGGGGAGGGGGGGATGTTTAAATGGTACTGTTCTGGGGAGGGGGTGGAGATAGAGATCAAGTTGTTTAACCCTCTATTACGCAATTTTAGTTTTTTATGGAAAAAAATTTTTTGATGGCATATTTCATAGTTATTGGATTTAAATAAACATAATATGCAAAAAAAATAATTTTTTAAAATGAAATAATGATTTTATTGGTATGTTGCCATATGGCAACAGTGCGTCTTAAAGGTCAGAAAAGTAAAACTGAACAAGAAAAGGAAACGATAACAATAATATTTGTAAAAGGTGAATATTTAATCGTTTACACAAACAATGGTTCTCAGTACTTAGTTTACAAGCATATCTTCATATTATGCTTTTATATCATGAAAAAGATCATTATAAAAATCATATTTTATAAGCATTTTTTACACAAAAATATAGAAAATCATGTAATCAATATATAGAGCATATAGAGGGACAGTAAATATTTATATACATATGTGAAATGCAGGTTTAATGCTGGTGGAACTGTTTGAAGCAATGTCAACTTTACATTATGCACATTTTATTCTTGAAAATTCTTTTCAACCTGGTCTCTTGCATCTTCCTTTGTTTTCAAGTGGCTCAGGAAAGTGCCAAATATAATCAGCTCTTACTGGTAAGGGTGGAAAAGCTGCAATAGGACCACTCAAATTTTTAGCTGTAAGTTGAGGCTCTATATCCAATAAAGGACTGCCAAGTTTCCTAAACCCTGCTTTACCTTCTTTCATTAGGCATATGGCCATCTTGGTGTTGAAATCAAGTACACCGAGGATATTTTTTGTCGCGATTCGCATTAGTACAATCAGCCTATAGATCAGCCATGCCAGCACAACTGCCATACTGGTATCCAGAAAGTGGAATATTATACAGTGATACTATTTTTTGGACCTTACTGGTATCCTGTATACGGCCAACAGTGAAGCGAGAAGATCCACACCACCCATGAATTTATTGTAAACCATGATTACCGATGGACAAGTTACCTAGATTTCCCTTTTAGCCTTTTGTCCCATCTTTTGACCC